CATAAAAATAGTAATGAAATGCACTCTTCCGAGTGTGGCATACAATTACAATTAAGTAAGGTACTCTCTTAAACCGGATAGTTGAAAGGGTATGAAAACGAAAGTAAAACAAACATATAACTAAATTTTGTCTCTCCATGTTTCTCTGGGTGTTTTTGTGCGTATCTATGTCTGTGTTTTTGTCTGTGTGTGCGTGTATGTGGCTGCATCGTTTTTCAATTTGCGGAATTATGATGAAGATGCTTTTAAAATGTTTCGAATGCGATGCGGCGAGCCCGAGTCTGCGTGTCACTTTGGATTTGGGTCCCTCTGCAACTAAAGCCCCCTCTTAATATCACTCCTCCTTTTCAATATCCTCTACACTTTTCCCTACACTTTCTCTCTGCTCACTAGGATTTCGTGTCCACTTTGTGGCAAGTGTCCCTATTACCCAGAAGTGAAACCCCAAATGAAAACTGCGCTCAAATCTAATTTGCTTCTGAGCCGTTCTTGGCAAAAACGTCAAACCACCTCCCATGTACACACACACACTCCCACACACACTCCCACACACACTCACACACACACTCACACACATATAGGTGACTTAGATATTTGCACAGGTGCGGTTAACGTCGCTAAAGTAACCGAAAAAACGTTTTAAGCTCAAGATTTGTGGCATTCCTAGAAGTCTTGCTTTCTTTTTGTTGTGCAAATGCTTTCCCATCATTCGTTTCCATCAGGACTGGGGGTCAGCCCTTGAAGCGCTCCTGACTTTAATCGCCCAAATACCTGTATACGCCTAACAGACTGCAATTACAGTAAACACCTGAACTATTGACCAAACAAATTTGTTGTTTTTTTTTTCTTAATCATTGCACACAAACTTTCTTAAAACTCCATTCAATATAAAATAAAATTTCGCTTACGGTTGTTGATTGATTTAATTTTAGTTACACTACAATAAAGCATTCTATTAACCTTCTATATATCAATCCATATATGAATGATTTAAAAAATAACAACAGATTTTAAGAACTGTTAGATATCAAGATTTGTCAAAGCATAATATTTTATTTTAAATTAAGTCTTTTATGAAGCATTAAAATAAGTTAGATCTGATCAATAAAATAGTAATGAAATTTTATTATTTTTGGTGTTGTATATAAGATATGAACTATTTGAAATGTTTTCAAGCATTCCAGTAGACCTACAAGTATAAGTGATACACAAATTTGTCAGGACCAGAGCATTATCGTCTCTCAGGCGGGTACAGACGCTCCAGAAAAAGCCGAACGGACTATTACTGGATGCGAGTGGAACGTTCGGGGTCCTAGGCTGCACCACCACCTAAGTCTAGAGACCCTAGAGGTATATATTAATCGTCATATGACCCATTGTACCGCAACAGATCGGCCAAACAAACCATAAGGTTTGCAATATAATTTTATCATGCTTATGCTTAATAGGCTTAATATCCATTTTTATAATTTTCTTCTCATTATAAAGGTATCCTTCTAGTCTATTTATAAGGTTTGCAATATAATTTTATTTAGGCTTAATAGGCTTAATATCCATTTTTATAATTTTCTTCTCATTATAAAGGTATCCTTCTAGTCTCGCTGCTTATTATAAATTGCTTCGATGGGGTTGGCTCAAGCCATGGAATGTTTTTTATTTTTAAACCTTAAACATGGAGAGTGAAGCTGAGAAAGTCTTGGTACGCAAAAAAGCGTAAACTTAGGGAGGTTTCACTCCGAACCCCCATCCCCTATACAGTGCGACGAAACACAAGGGCCACTCAGTTTTGTCAGTTTGCGAAATGTTTCCCTGCTGTGGGGCTGTTGTTGTATCTGCTAGTTCTGCTTTTAGTGTCATTTCGGCAACGGGATTATGACCCTGATCTGGTCAGGTGCTGCCGTTTTACATGCCCACGTGCACTTCCATGTGTGTGTGGGTGTATCTCTGTGTATGTGTGTGTGTGCCCCTGGTTGTTGTTACGTTTGTTTGTGTGTGTATCAAGGGGCTTTAGTTTCACTTTGCTGCATGCCATTGGGGCTATCCATTGGCAGCTCCCTCCATCTACTGTGTCTGTGCTTGTGTGGGTGTGGGTGTGTACGTGTGTTTGTGTGTACATGTGTTTGTGTTTTGCTAACTTTTTGGTTACTCTTTGGTTATTGGTTTATGGCCCTCATGTGGTTGTTTGCTCGGTGTGTCATTAATTTCATGTTTTTGCATTTTTGCAGCCGCTCCTACTCCTGCCTCCAACCCGCCCCATCAGCCCAACAACTGCATGTTAAAAGTTTCTACCCACACATATTGTATATACGTATGCACACACATACACTTACGTATGCAGATGCGGATGTAGGCCACTCATCTGAGCCCATATCATGTGTTGGCTTTTAACGCAAAACTTCTTGGCAGGCAACAGCATCGATATCGTCTCCTCCCTGCACGCCCTAATAACCTCCCCTGTGTATCCATCTCCCCATACCTGCTGTTTACTTCTAGAATATTGATAATTACTTTTACTTTGCACGCTTAGGGAAACTGCAAACAAAATAGGAAGCCCGAGTGGAATGCATCGCAACGCATCGCAGCTCGTTGCAGGCAGCAGTAAAAGTACAAAGGGGCTTCCCTAAGAGATATTTGAAGCTTTCCACTTGATTCAGTACCAAGCGGGAGTAAATTACAATTAGCTAGTAGATTCTTGAATCAAGGATAAAATTCTTATCTTAAGTACAGATATTTCGACACCAAACATCTTGGTGCTAGATTAAAAATGTTTTCTACTTAAATGGCAAGCTTAACAGCACCGTTGCTATATTGATTATGTTTTGAATAATCTATTTTCAGATATACCTTTATTAGAAAGTAATTTTAAACACAATTTTTGAAATATAGATATTGATATTTTACATCCTCATATCAATATTCTTATCATATCAGTGTGACATTATCAATAATTTAAATAGTCGAGCACATTTATAGTCCATTTATAGTCATGCACTCGTTCGAAAAATCTATTTGGGATTTCTAGTACGTTTTGTCTCCATTTTAATTTAAAATCGATCCAGAGTCAATTTTAGAATGGATTGCTTCCTTATGAAAAATCGGATGGATCGGAATGAACTCTTTAGAAGAGTCCAATGAGAAATAAAATTTGTTATAAGTAAAAATACAGTAAATGATTGTAGCTTCGGAGCTATTAATTATAATTTTAAAAAATGTCTAAAAATTTATGCTTACACAATTTCATTTTTTTTTTTTGTGGAAGTCTATTCTTTTAATTATTAACATTTTCAATTGTTCCATTGGAGTGTTGTGTTGAAAGAAAAAATAGTATTTATACTATATTCCATATATTTCATCTGAGAAGTCATTTGCAGAAAGTATTTAGCTGCTCTTGAAACACTCGTTGCTCTCGTTATTGCATCTAAATATAGCCACCAATGAATGGGAGATTCGAGTGAAATCGCGGCCATATCTGGTGTGTTGGATAGATTTTATTTCGGATTGATCATCTCCACATCGAACATAGACGATTATCTATTCTACTTTTATAGGAAAAGGTAGTGTGGAGCAGGCAGCTGCATTTCGAGTTTGAAAACGAGTCCAGCATGCCAAAGGCCTGTCTTATAGAAGAACTGTCGAATAATATTGTTTGTCGTCTGGAGCCTCCTTAATTCGACGGGCAAATAACATTTATCAGTAAGCTGTAAGTATGGGAAAGTTGAATAGAATCATGTTTTTAGACGCCTTGTGCAAGAGCTAGAGAAACTACACTTGGTATGCATATTTCGCTAAGCCCTAAGCAAGTTGGTCCTTTTTTTCCTGCATGTGGTTGTTGTAGTTGTTGTTGGTGTTGTCATTTAGTTGGACTTGCGTGCGCGCTGTTCGTTTAATGAATTTGCAACCATTGGCACGCATACAGACACACACACACACACACACACACAGTCAGTAATACGCGGCATCGGCGCCCGCGGCATATGCAACACCATTCAAAGGCTAAGTGGTGGGCGGCGTGTGGCGTGCCCTTTTCAACAACTTCACTTGCAACGAGTTGAGCGGCACGTGCAACGCGCTACTTGCAACCAGCGAGCGCATTATCTGATTAAAGCTGCCACAGAGACGTCCGCACAAACAAACGGACGCCGCACAAAGTGCAGGTGCCGAGGCCGTGCTGAATACCGTTAACAAAATGGTGGCAGGCATGTGAAGATGTTTTCGCTGTTGCTGGTATTGTTGTTGCCTTCTGAATAAAGAGGTAATGTTCGCGGTGTTTGTGCAAGTTGTAAAAACTAATTAAAATTTCATTACAGCAGTGTTGAAAAGTGCACCGGCAACAACAATAACACGGCCAACAGCAACAGCAACAGCAAAAACAATAGCGACATCCATGTTGGCGAGGACAAAGCGCAAGAGCAATAACAATGCCCAACAAGGTGAGACGAACACAAAAAACCGCAACGAGCCTTTACGTTAAATGAAGTCGAGTCGTGTTTGTCGGCAACAAATTTTATTAACATTATGTATTTTCATTGTAGCTGCCGTTGTTGTGCAAATTGCATGTCGAATAGCTGCAGACATGAGTGTGCATGTACAGCATGTAAGGGCAATTAAGACAGCAACGCTGACATTTCAGACAGCATTAACAGATTATTGTTGAAATTGAAATTAATTAACAGCACAAATTTGCACAAAATGTGTTATTTAAATGAGGCGTTCACATTTCAGCACTTTATTTGAAGTGAAATTTGAATTGTAACACTGCCAGACCATTGTAATGAGGATTCTACCGCCACCTATTGCTCGATTGGCTAAGCTGTGCGAGTTATCCAGCAATGTGGCAGCACTGCTTAGACGACGTTATTCGATTCAACAATTCAGAGTCAACACTATCGATAGTAGAAAATACATCGATAGCTTAGCAGCTCCAAGGCACTGTGCTCTTTGTCTTTAAGTTGCTGTTGGACTGTACGGTCGGTTTTTGCTCTACCGCTACGCACATATAAAATAAACAAGATTCATATTGCAAAGCGACCGCGTAACGTTGACTTCTCAGCTGCTGCTTTCGTTTCGACTCGTGTGTGTGAAAGTGCCGAAAATGTATACAAATAGCATTGATTTCAATGTGTAAAGTGCAAGGAAAACGTTAACATTGCGCTCGACATGTTTCCGTGTGTGTAATTGTAGCCAAAAGGGCATCCAGTTATGAGGAGAACGCAGCCGCGCTAAATTCTTTTTTAATTAGTTTTAATTAAGCATAAATAAGCTGCAAAACAAAATAAACAGCCATAGCCATAGTCACAGCAGAGCCAACGAACGCTGGCATTTACGGCAGTGGGGGAAATACGAGTGTAAATTGCAATTAATTTTGTGAAAGAAAAAAATGTAAAGCAACAGCCACGGCTAAGGCAATAGCAATAGCAATAAGCAACAACAGCAACAAGTGTGCGTGTGGCTGCGTATGTTCATGTGCGCGTGTGTGTGTAGGAATGGAATGCAGTTACGAAAAAAGTAAATAAATAATTGAGAGCACGCCCGGAGCGGAGCCGGAGAGTGTTCGCGTGAGCGCCGAGTTGATGCTGCTTTTCGCCGTCTTATCGTCGTAGCTTTTATCGAATGTACAGTGAAAAAAAGTGGCGCACAAGTTAAAGTGAAAAATGCTTTTGCATAAGAAATAAAGCAATATGGTGCAATTGAACTGATATTTCAAGACACAACGAGAACAAAATTCGCCATAGTTATTGATTAGAGCAGTGCCTTACACTCTCTCTGTTTCTCTTTTTGACTGGACTGCATAAAAATGCCAAATCTACAGCAACCACCGCCACATGCGCCTCACCAACAACAACAACAAGCACCACCGCTGCACCACAATCACAACGTGCATCCGCACCACCACCCGCAGCACCACAGTGAATTCCCATTGCCCGATGGCTGGGATATTGCCAAGGATTTTGACGGCAAAACCTACTACATTGATCACATCAACAAAAAGACCACATGGCTGGATCCCAGAGATCGGTAAGTTGATATCTACATACAATTCTTGATATGTACATATGTATGTATGTACTTTGGTGGGCTTGGGCTTGAGATTGAAGCTGTCTGGATGGGCTTCTCAGGCTGCAACCACAGTCAGGAAGTGCTTCACATAACTCGCATCAGCAAAACAAAACCATATAAATACCTATACTTGCGCGTGAACCGGAAAGAAAAGGTGCGTCGCAAAAGGAAAAAAAAAGATACACATGTGCATGCCTTCCATGCTAGAGATGGGATCGTGCTTCCTTTTTCGATGTAATATTTTTCCATTCTTTACAATGTCTTAGTCAACTAATTCAAATTTAAACCTTCAATAAATAACTAATTTAATTAATTCATAAATATTTTTGATTGTGGTTGATTTAATTCGGCAAACAAGAATTCAAAAAGCACGGTTCTTATAAAAAACAAAATAGTCTGGTGCTACGAAAATTATTCTGTGCAATAATTACAATAATTTAAAAGTTTAATCTTGTTTCTAAAACTAATATTTAATAATGATAATCAATAATTAAATTTGTTCAATATAGAATACTCTTTTATTTATCTAAACCTTGAAAGGACAAAATAATTTCCATAGCTTACAAAAAACAGTCAAGTATATCAATGTAGACTTGGATTAGCACGTCTCGATCTCCCACCTCTAAGTCAGGCGTGTACATACAAGCACATGTGTAAAGAATACGGGAAGAAGCAGCACGAAAAAATGCGCTAAAACAACAGCAACCACAATGTGTGTTGTGCACGGCACAACAAAAACAAAAGAGGCGCGCAAAGGCACAGGCCGAGTAAAAAGTGCAAAATGCCCAACAAAATAAATTATTTAAAAAAAGCACATTAACAAGACGGCAAAAAAATGAACATAAAAACTTTAAGCAAACATTCCAATGCGATGATTAAGACTCCCAGTATAACTGAAGTGAACTCCAAAGCCAAGTGGCCGAGAGGCAACTACAACAACAACAAATATAAGCGCAACGACGGCAACAAACAAAAATAAAATTGGAAAAAACAGCACAGCAGCAACAACAAAATTTACAGCAAAATGAACGGCACATAAAGACAGAGAGAGGAGATCATGGCAAGGCATAAAACGTTGGGGCAGGGGTGGGAGCACACACACATACACACATATAAGCATGACTGAGAGAGCAAAAGTTAAATAAAGCTCAACAAAAGGCATTTTTCAGCGAATGATCTGCAAAATGTACAAAAAAATCGAGCAAACTAAAAAACTCATACGTAATGTAGATTTGGTACAATATAATACACACACACACATACATATACACACAGATACATTGGCAGTAGGCAGTGGCGTGATCGTTCGGTCGGCCGGGGGGACCGCATCTCATCGCCATGTATCGCATAGATACATTTTTCAGTTTGGCCGTCCAACAACAACGTCATTCGCCATTCGCTTTTATGCCGCGCTCGCATTTTTCAACTCGCTCTCTTCCAGTCTTTCGCTCGCTAGCTCTTGCGCTCTTTTTCCATAAACAATTGCAAATGTACGAGGAATTTTTGCAGTTTCGAAATAATTGATTTCAGAAATTCTTCTTTTGTACTTACACACACACTCACACATTCCTGAATTCTTGTCGATTCGTAAATATTGCGTGTGTAATTCTGAAGATATGTTTGTATTGTGTATGTGCGCTGCACGCTTTCAATTAACAGACCCCTTGCTTTGTTTCAAATTGCACGGATATGGTTAAATTTGTTCCATCGAATCAAACAGATGAACAACTGAGGAATGTGTCCGAAATTGAAATGAAATGAAACATCTGCTAAATCTGTTTAAAAGCTACACAGACACAGAAACAGAAACAAAAACACACGCATAAATACGCTTGCACACATCGCGCACTAGGCCAGAAAATCAAGTTGTTGGCTAAGACCCCAATTTATGATCGATGCGTCTCGCGCAAAATATATTATATTCTTATTATAGATATGCAAATATTTTGTTTAAACTCATTTTAATTGATAAACTCGTTTAATAACATCCACCGGGCTCTATATTTTATTTATTGCACCTTCAAACATTTGAGAGAGCTTTGTACTTTCCAAAGACGATGCTGAAGATAGATTTTAAATAAAACTAACTTACAACAAATTTATATTCAAGAACTAATCCTTCTATTCCTTACTGTACAAACATTTTTCGGAGCGTTTGGTTCATAAACGAAAAAATGATTTAATTTGGATCGGATATTGATTATTAGTAGTCTTGTTAGTAGAAGAGGCGATTTGGGAATAGAATACGTCTTACGTCTGCTTAAAAGTCTGGGGTTCCTGATATGAACATAAATCATCTATGCCAATAACGTTTTTTCTTGTTTGTATGTATTCATTACGCCTTATCTGGGAAATACGATTAAAAGCTAAACAGATCCTATCAATAAGCTTAAATTTTGATCATTTTTGAGTTCATTTGGAATGCAATGTGTGCTTGGGTGAAACTTGTGCTCGCTTTTTCTACTGCAATGGCAAATATTCGCCGCCGCCGGTCCGCGGTCGGGAAATATTTCACTTATTATTCGCATTTGCCCATTTATTGGCATTTTGCACGTCTCGCATAATTTACCGCAATTATTTACGCCCCCTCGTCCCCCTTTCCATTTGGCTGGCCACTCGAATGGACACGCGCGTTGTTATTGAATTTTTTGAAAATTGTTGCCGGTAGCGCGCAAAAATTCCAATAAACCATAAATAAATTTCAACAAATCATCTAAAGGGGGCGGGAAATCGTGGGGCCAAGCAAACGAAGAAAAAGAAAAGAAAAAATAACCGCGAAATTATACACACATACATACATAGATGTTTCACTTGTTTGTACAACTTTTCGTCAGGGTTTTTTTTTCTATATCTGCATACTTTTGTTGTTGCTCTTTGCATAAACAAAGCAGCGACAGCAACAATGTATTCATACGACTGACGGATGGATGGATGGACAGTTTTTTGGCCAATTGTCAAGCGACAGTGGAATATTTTTGTTTAGGCTGAAACTGAAACCAAATATGGCAAAAATGTCAACAATAGTGCTTTTTAGACAATAATGCCAAACTCTATGGCATTTGCACAGTCACTGTCTGCCAATTGCTAAAGTTGTGGTTTATTCAGACAATCATTGTCTATAAGTACACATTCACATTTTGCTTGGGTAATGGCCATATTTTCAGATTGCAGGATCTTTTATCTATCCAAGTAAACTTACCACTGAAAAGCTAGCTCACACCGATCTTACAAACAGCAGCCATCGCAGACGCCTATATTGTCTACACTTCCAATGTGATCCCATCAATTAATTGGTGTCCAACCGACAGATTGCCAATAAAGATGGATAACATGCTATTAAATCGAATAGTATTCCAAAACATTCAAGAAATGAATCTTTTCAACACATACATAATCACATCTATCAAGTCTATCGACCAAAAAACACACAGTAATCCAGTTAGTAGAGACATACATACGATATGTATTTGCGGCAACTCGTTCGTTTTTACATAAACAACAGTAGCAGTGACAGTGGCAGTAGCAGTAACAGTAACAGTGAGCAGCAGCAAGAGAAAAAGGCCTAAGCTCAGCGAAAGCGCGTTTTCATAATTTGGCGTGTCAGTGGCGCCGGCGCATCAGAGGGGGGTGGGGAGGGCGAGCGGTTAGGCGCCTCTAAAAGCTGGTTGAGCCATTATACTTGTATGGCGACGCGTGTCGGCAACTGTCAAGTCATAAATGCAAAATAGGCAGATCAGAAATGTCGCCATTATCATACTTATGGGCAGCTTTATATATGAAAGTCTAAACGTTATTCATCCAGCAATTGGTATTTCAACACACACACGCACACACACATATATACACACTGATCTGCACAGTTATAGATACAGATACGACCTGTGGCATTTGGGAAGGCGCGTCGACAACTCGCAGCGTTTCCAATTGCATAAAGAGCGCAAAAGTGGCCATAACGAGTAATGCCACAAATAGCCAGCATCTAAAGTCAAAACAGCAACAACAACATAAGCTATGGCTAATGGTTGCCCCCCTCACTTCTGTCATCCCCCTTCCACAACATCGTCTGCCTGCATCGTTGGGAACATGCGTGCCATTATGCATTAGATGTGGCGATTTTTTCGATGCAAAATGCCAAAGCAGAAACAACAAAATTTACATAAAATTCAATTTGGTAGGGAAAAGATGCCAAAGACGCACACACACACACACACACACACACACACACACACACGTACACATACATTGATACACACATGCGGGGCAACTTGGAAAGCTGCAAAACGGCATTTTTCATTTAATAAATTGCACAAGGCAGCAGCAGCAGCAGCAACAACAACAAGATGTGGAAAGAATGCACATACAAGCGCACAGATACATTTACAACCGCAACAACGAGCGTACATTGCAACAAGTATTTCCACTTAACAACAACAACAACAACGGCAGCAGCAGCAGCAAAAAGTTGCTGCGACCAAACCGTGATTACAATTTGATTACGCGCATAAATGCAACGCCAAGTTGCAGGAACAACAACAGCAACAACTACGACTGCAACAACAACAGCAGCAGCCAGCCACAGGCAGCGCGATTTTCTAGTTTGCAGCAGCAGGCAGGCAGACAGGCAGGCCCAAAGCGTCAAAAAATATTTCTCTCCTTCCACTTGCAAGCGACCAAACGATAGTTGCCACATGCATACACACACACACACACATATATACATATATACGGGGGCACATGCTCGCCAAGATACATAGTGTATCTGTGAGATACACGGGCACATATGCAGCAGAAGCTGACAACACACACACACACACATACACACCAGCCATGCAGTGTTTGCAGCATGTTTGCCCATTTTAGCTACAAACTGTTTTTCCAGCTCGGCTTGGTCGACTTGCTCGCGTCGTAGTCAGTGGTGGATATGTACACACATATATATATAAATACATACACACATA